TACAATGAGGATATATTAAAATAGCAGCATTTTTGATCACATTATTGTACTTTGCTTATTTTCCATTGACTACCCGCAATTATATGTGCAGTGTGAAAAGTAATAATGTGACAGTAAAAATTTGTGATGAGAATTAAAAAGCGGTAATTTTCTCCATTTCGTTCTTATTTATAAAGCCGATATAGACATCTTTATACATATAAACTAGCACAGAGACAAAATATGTCCAAATCAATCAAACTTAGTTTCAAATAGCATAATTATTTAAACATTATTTAAACAAGATTATTTAAAAATTTTCAATATTTTATACCGACACTTACATTAGGTGGCAAAATCTATTACTGGCCTCTAACCAGCCCACTAACATCCGTAAAGCTAAACTGTCCTTCTTTGTTCATTTAAAACTGTTGAACGGTATAAAAAGTATGTCTTTATAGTAGAATCAGAAGGATTGGGGAGAGTAGTCAAGTATATACTGACATGTCTCTTTATTTCATGTTACATAAGCATAGAGTGATATGATCTAAAAATGTTCCAAGGGTTTCAGTCATCAGGTTAAAACTGCTCTTATCTATAGAACATAAACAAAAATACCCTGGAGATTTTCTACATGATTAATATAATTGGTTAAAATGAGCCTTTCAGTATAGTGTGTCTGTTACATATTTGATTAACTATTTGAGTGCTAGAGAAGAGTACAATAGCCTGAGGTAAAGTGTAAAATGAGATTATAAATGAGCTGCATCATATTTCTTTTTCATCCTAATTACAAGTATAAAGATAATTTTCCCTGGTTTATGTCTTTCTCGCTCTTGCTCTTGCTCTCTCTCACTTTCTCTCTTTTGCTCTCTTAGTTACCATGGCACTAATTTGAGTTACAGTGTGCACAGCAGGTAAATGCGTTGGGAATGGGTTATGTTTATAGATGACACTAGACTCTACCCCTTGATATTTTACTATTGTTGGGCTCTGGCCATTTAGCCCTTGATCCAATAAAAAGGCCATACCTTGTATAACACTATACACCTATAGATACACTTCATTGAGAAACAAAATACAATTTTATCTACTTTAAAGAGGCACTCTACATCTTTTGATGCTGTTAGTCAATGACAGGCATAGAAGACAGGACAATATGCAAGGTTATGTTTTAGGGTTTCCAGAATCTAATTATTTTTGGCTTGAATAGTTGCTGAATATTTTAACAGTATGGAACTGTAGGGAAGGAGAGGAACTGTAGAACTAAGCATGAAAAAACAACAACATATATTTCTAACTCATGCCTAATATTAGTCAATGTCCCTTTTTTATCTGATTGTCTATTGTTGTGTCAGATGCACCTCCCCACCTGCCCCTATAGACCAGCTTCTTGCTCCCCAAATGTCATTTGAGGCTCTATTTAAAATTTATGGACTGACTAATGGAAGTTGTCTAATCTCACCCCTACCATTCAATGACTTGGTCATGTGACTTGGCAAATGCAGGCACTCTGTAACTTTGATCCAACACAGAACAGTTCCACTGTACTGCTAAAAATGCAATCAGTAGTTATACATACCTATAACATTTAAATATTGCTATTTATTATTTTATCAACTGTATGTCAGAAAATTGTATAATTGCATTTACATTAATATTTTATATTGTGTGTACAGTATTCACATTTAAGGCATTTTTCTGTACACTGTCTAAATTATTCCATTCCCCAACTTCTATAAAGGATAAAATAATAAATAAATACAACAAACAAAGAGAAAGATGCCACTAGTCTCAGTGCATAAACAGCCCTGAGAACAGCTGCATCACCTGGAAATATGTATAGCTGTGTAGTAGTTGTGATAAACTGGCTTAAAACATATATAATAAAGTCTAATGGAGACCAAATGTAGTAGATAGTAAATGAACAAAAAGTATATACAAGTGGTACTAATGCTAATATGCCAACCAGAGCAATAGGTCAGGTAGGGATATCATATAAAATTATTTGATGATTGTATGCACCCAAACCTAAATTACAGCTTTATTTAAAGAAATGCTAAATAGGGGTGGGTCAATCGCAATTATAATACCCTAATACAAGGCTGTCTCTGGGTAGTGTCTACCTATTCCTGTATTTTATCAGTAGGGTAGGTACTGCACTTATATTTGAGATAGAACCCCCTCTGTCTACAGCAGAGTACAATGTGGGTTTAAGCACAGACCCAATCAATCAATAATTAGTCATCATAAAATAAAGTAAATTACAGACAGGAAAAAGGTTCATAGTAGAACACAGAGAGAGATGGAGTTTAGTATATAGTTAGTATCTAGAAAACTGACAATGTTCAATTAAAAAGCCTCTCTCCCTGGTAAACTAACTAGATAGGCATAAAAGCAGAAATTAGATAAGTGAAAGTCAGAATCAGAAAAAATCAAAAAAATCCCATAAATCTAGTGCAGACCATGGTGCTCTAAACACCAGTGCCCAGTGCTCATAGAGTATGAGAAAAATAATAAATAAAAAATAAAATTTATAAAAATTAATACACTTATTTTTTTTTTGGTTTTCTAAACATTAATCTATAAACGAAATTGTTGTGTTATCATATTTTTAACTTAATAACTCACCGCATCATCAGTGAGGAGTAGCTGATATCTCTCTAGGCACCGTGAGCAAGAGGTCTACGTCTGGATTACCCTTTAAACTAATGGAGAGCAAAAAATGGGTGCCTAGGGAGGTATGCCTCACTGGTGATGCCTTACAAGGCTGAAACGATCATCTGGGTTTGCTGTATCTCTCGTGCAGGGAGAACTTGCTGGCATTTTGGATCTGGACTGCCCGTATGGGTGGGACCAGTCTGAGGTGCTTCAGATATGTTCTCTCTGTAATGGTACAAGATGAGCAAAAACCAGCTTGAGATCTGAATGGGGACCCACCGAAGGGCAGGCTACTTCAGCTGCTGCCCGTTCTCAGTATACTCTTCAACCCATTTTTTGTTCTCCATAAATTACATGTAGCTTTAAAAAAAAAAAAAAAAAATATATATATATATATATATATAAATACAAAATGTCCAAATACTTGCACTCCTGTGATAGTAGGTTAGTGCCTGGTGCTGATAAGGCAAATAACATAAAAAATAAAGTAATAGGTAATAGCACTCCAAGGACTTCAAAAAGTATAAGGTGAAAAACTTAGCTTTTATTCAGCAGCTGCCACACAGAATCGACGTTTCAGTTCTAATACAGAACTTTCATCAGGATAAGGTGCATAACAAAAACCAACATTTATATAACAAACAAATAAATACATGATATACAGAACAGGTGAGGCTTACCCCAATCCCTGGGTGGTCCCCATGGTGACCGCCAAAAAACGCGGGCAAAATTGACCCCTATAAGTGTATTCAGCAGCTGGGATGTGCTGCTGTATGGTGGTAGCTGGAATCGACGGCTGTCTGTGTTGACATGTCGTCATAGTAACGAAACCGCTCGTGTGGAGGTGGGCGGGGGCTCAAGTGGGCGGGGCTATGGTGCGATCGATGCTACGAGCTCAGTGCACGGAGGGCGGGCAGGGATCTGCAGTGGGGAGAGAACCCTTCTCTTCATTGTAGTGCCCTGCCGGTCAAGGGCTAAACGGACTGGCAGTATGATTACCTAGTCATGTGAACAGGGGCAGGGAGCCACCAACGTAATGGAGAAAGTGGATAGTAAATACATAAGGTCATATAAGGCAAGGCTGTGGTAGAAATGAGAAGTAAGCCTAAATAAGGCTATATGATCAAAAAGGGGCTAGAATAGGAACATGTATAAAGGCATATATAAAGGTATATATGAAGGACCTCAAGGTAAACTTGCAAATGGTAGGGTCTGGGGCTGGACAAAGAGTGTGATAAAGTCTGCATATAAAATGCTTGCTAAATGGGTGTACTGTAACTAAGGCCAGATGTTACAATGTCTGGTACTTAATGATGGTGTCCAATGCAACTATAGGGGATAGGCAATAAGTCCTAAATTGAATACTAACGACATGGAATCTATTTATTTCAAAATAGGTGTGATCTCCCTAAGGTAGCTGGGCAGTGTTGCCAACCTTCATGTCATAATGATACACAGATAGTGTAGTATATGTGGTAGGTACTACAACCATGGGCAGAATATTATCTGAATCTATGGCTGTGTAAATGGCTGTGCCTAGAAAGGAGTGCTAGGAATACTGGAGCCACTGGAGGGACGTATAGCAAGAACAGGGGGCTATTGTCATCCATATATGTATATGGGGGAGATATCTGTGATGTCCTAAGCGTAATATGGCCGTACATAAAGTATTCATCATCTTGCAATACAGTTGGCATTGTAATAGGGACATACAGGCATAAAGACAAAGAAATCAAAAAAATAAATAAAAAATAATATATACAAGAATATACAGAGGTGGCCCATTCATTAAGTCCAATATATATAGAAGCATTGTAGTAGGGAAGGGTTTTTTAGTTAAGTCCTGGAAGCATATCATAGAAAAATACCTAAAGTGTATTTTTCATTAAGTCCCCTGGGTTGCACAGTGTCAAGTGTTCGAATTCAATAGAGCTCTCTTTGTAGTAGGAGCTTCTTGCGGTCGCCACCCCTTAAGGGTGGAGGGATATGATCAATGGCCAAAAACTTCATTGTTGGTAGGGGATGGTTATATTCCAGGAAATGTTTAGCCACCGGTTGTTCTGACCCATTGTCTCTATATGCTGTGCGTATGCTTGAACGGTGGTTGCGGATTCGTTCTCGGAGTGGTAAGTCGGTTTTTCCCACGTACATCAAACCACAGGGGCATCCCAGTTTATATACCACAAAGTCACTCGTGCAGGTAAGTCTGTGTTTTATGAGGTATTTTTTGCCGGTGTGTGGATGAACAAACGATTTGCTGGGGATCATATGGCTGCATGTGACGCAGCCCAAGCATCTGTAACACCCCAGGTTCTGGTAGGTAGTTGCTTTGCTATAGCAGTGTGTGGGGTCAGATTTACCAATAGATCCCTCAAGTTGCTGCCCCTCCGGTAGCACATCATTGGGCGCTGTTTGAATTGGGGTGGCAAACTGGTATCATTCTGTAGGATTCGCCAGTTGCGGTCCACTGATTGTTTAATCTCGTTAGATATGGTGGTATATGTTGTTGGGAATACCAATCTTTCTGTTGATACTGTTGTGGCTGTAATCTGTAACGGCATTTCGTAACATCTGTCCAATGCCTTGGACAAATCCCTGTGTTTATAACCCCGTGCAAGGAATTTATCCCACATATCTTGTAATTGGAGTTGGGTGTTTGCCATATTGGAATTGTTACGTATTACTCTCATAAATTGTGACTGTGGGAGTGAGTTAATGAGATGTTTCGGATGATGACTTTCAGCATGCAGGAGGGTGTTCCTGTCTGTTGGTTTGTTGAATAAAGTATAGGCTATTTTGCCATCTTCTTTGTACAGACGGACATCTAAGAAGTCAATCTGTTTGTCATTGGTTGTCATTGTGAGGCGGACTGGTGTGTCCAGACTGTTGATAGTATTAAGCATTTGATTCGGTGTGGAACCCCCATTTTTCCAGATGATAATGATGTCATCGATGAATCGGCGGTAAAATAGTATATTGTCGTTAAAAGGCGAGAGAATATGTTCTCTTTCAAATACGTACATGTAGCTATTAGCATACATAGGTGCCATGGCCGCCCCCATCGAAGTTCCTGCAATTTGTTTGTACCAGGTGTGGTCAAATCTAAAGTAATTAAGACTGAGTACAAGGTGTAGTAGTTCTAATACATATTCAACAGGTGGTCCCATGTATGATGATGAAGATGTTAAAATTGTCCGCATAGCGTTGATACCCATGTCATGTGGGATGATCGTGTACAAGCTTTTAACGTCACAGGTTACAAAGGTAAACTCAGGCTCATGTTCAGTAAATTGTTGTAATAGTTTAAGGAGGCTTGGAGTGTCTTTAATGCAGGTGGGCAACTCTTCAACGGGTTTCTTGAACAGGTAATCTAGCCATTTGGCTATTGGTTCAAGGGCTCCTCCTATTGCTGATACAATGGGTCTTCCTGGTGGTAATATGGGGTCTTTATGTATCTTAGGCAGCGTGTATATCACTGGCGTTCTCGGGTTCTTTTGTAGTAAAAAGTCAAAAACTTCCTGGGTGATATAGGATGCCTCCAGTCCTCTTTGGAGGGTCTGTTGAATATTTTGCATTATAGTTAGAGTGGGATCTGCAGTAAGTCTTGTGTATGTGGTCAGGTCTCCTAATTGCGTGAGGATCTCCTGTCTGTAGTCCGTATAGTTCAAAAGCACTATGCCCCCACCTTTATCAGCTGGTCGAATGATCAGACTTGGGTCTTTAGCTAGTGAAGTTATAATCTTTCTTTCCTCTTTGGTGATATTCGTTTTATGTTTCATTCGTTGGTTAAGGTGTTGTTGGGTTTCATAGTTTAGAGATTTGAGGAATGTCTTTATAGTGGACTGATTGGGTAAGGGATCCCACGTACTCTTAGCTTTGAACGTCTTGATAGGTGAATCTTTTGTTATGTGAGATTTGAAGAAATCTTTCAATCTTAAGTTTCTCCCAAATTTATAGATTTCAACCTCCTGAGTAAGTGGGTTGGGGTATGTAGTTGGAACAAAGGAGAGGCCTCTCATTAGTAACTTGTTCTCTGCGTTGGTTAGTTGCCGTGTCGATAAGTTGAAGATTGGTACTACCTCCGACGTGGTGGTCTGCCTCTTTGCCCAGTAAATCCTGCCCTTCTGTCCTCTTCTTGTGATATGTCGTTTTCTTCGATATCTAATCTGGCACGTTGTCTCGTGGTGGTGCCTGTTGCTGTATTGCCTTTCTCTAAAAAAAGATTGGTTTGTTGTGCGTTTTGGGTTCTTGGTTGGGAGTCTGAGTCTGAGGTAGAGTCGGCTGAGGTTTTATCTATAGTGTATTGCCTTGGTCTCCTAATGGGTCTTCTGTTCCTTGTGAAGCGTGGGGCCTCGTTCTGGCCGCTCAACCACCTGTACACCCTGTGTTCCGTGTAGTCGTTCTTGACCTTTTCTTGTTTTTCACGCTTAAATCTAATCAGGTCGGTCTTATATTCTTTAACGTTTTGTTCAAGTTTCAACAGGGTAGGGGCTGCTTCTTCTGAGGATAATAGTAATGCCTTCTTTGCTTCCAGTTGTGTAATGCGTTGTCTAATCTTGATGAGATCTTCCTTTACGTCCTCTATGATGATAAGAATCAGGTCTAGGGAGCATTTATTTAGTACTGCAATCCATTTCTTGCAGACTTTTGGTTTTGCTCGCCCTATTAAGAATTAAGAACATCCCTACAAGAAAAGGTCAAGAACGACTACACGGAACACAGGGTGTACAGGTGGTTGAGCGGCCAGAACGAGGCCCCACGCTTCACAAGGAACAGAAGACCCATTAGGAGACCAAGGCAATACACTATAGATAAAACCTCAGCCGACTCTACCTCAGACTCAGACTCCCAACCAAGAACCCAAAACGCACAACAAACCAATCTTTTTTTAGAGAAACGCAATACAGCAACAGGCACCACCACGAGACAACGTGCCAGATTAGATATCGAAGAAAACGACATATCACAAGAAGAGGACAGAAGGGCAGGATTTACTGGGCAAAGAGGCAGACCACCACGTCGGAGGTAGTACCAATCTTCAACTTATCGACACGGCAACTAACCAACGCAGAGAACAAGTTACTAATGAGAGGCTTCTCCTTTGTTCCAACTACATACCCCAACCCACTTACTCAGGAGGTTGAAATCTATAAATTTGGGAGAAACTTAAGATTGAAAGATTTCTTCAAATCTCACATAACAAAAGATTCACCTATCAAGACGTTCAAAGCTAAGAGTACGTGGGATCCCTTACCCAATCAGTCCACTATAAAGACATTCCTCAAATCTCTAAACTATGAAACCCAACAACACCTTAACCAACGAATGAAACATAAAACGAATATCACCAAAGAGGAAAGAAAGATTATAACTTCACTAGCTAAAGACCCAAGTCTGATCATTCGACCAGCTGATAAAGGTGGGGGCATAGTGCTTTTGAACTATACGGACTACAGACAGGAGATCCTCACGCAATTAGGAGACCTGACCACATACACAAGACTTACTGCAGATCCCACTCTAACTATAATGCAAAATATTCAACAGACCCTCCAAAGAGGACTGGAGGCATCCTATATCACCCAGGAAGTTTTTGACTTTTTACTACAAAAGAACCCGAGAACGCCAGTGATATACACGCTGCCTAAGATACATAAAGACCCCATATTACCACCAGGAAGACCCATTGTATCAGCAATAGGAGGAGCCCTTGAACCAATAGCCAAATGGCTAGATTACCTGTTCAAGAAACCCGTTGAAGAGTTGCCCACCTGCATTAAAGACACTCCAAGCCTCCTTAAACTATTACAACAATTTACTGAACATGAGCCTGAGTTTACCTTTGTAACCTGTGACGTTAAAAGCTTGTACACGATCATCCCACATGACATGGGTATCAACGCTATGCGGACAATTTTAACATCTTCATCATCATACATGGGACCACCTGTTGAATATGTATTAGAACTACTACACCTTGTACTCAGTCTTAATTACTTTAGATTTGAGCACACCTGGTACAAACAAATTGCAGGAACTTCGATGGGGGCGGCCATGGCACCTATGTATGCTAATAGCTACATGTACGTATTTGAAAGAGAACATATTCTCTCGCCTTTTAACGACAATATACTATTTTACCGCCGATTCATCGATGACATCATTATCATCTGGAAAAATGGGGGTTCCACACCGAATCAAATGCTTAATACTATCAACAGTCTGGACACACCAGTCCGCCTCACAATGACAACCAATGACAAACAGATTGACTTCTTAGATGTCCGTCTGTACAAAGAAGATGGCAAAATAGCCTATACTTTATTCAACAAACCAACAGACAGGAACACCCTCCTGCATGCTGAAAGTCATCATCCGAAACATCTCATTAACTCACTCCCACAGTCACAATTTATGAGAGTAATACGTAACAATTCCAATATGGCAAACACCCAACTCCAATTACAAGATATGTGGGATAAATTCCTTGCACGGGGTTATAAACACAGGGATTTGTCCAAGGCATTGGACAGATGTTACGAAATGCCGTTACAGATTACAGCCACAACAGTATCAACAGAAAGATTGGTATTCCCAACAACATATACCACCATATCTAACGAGATTAAACAATCAGTGGACCGCAACTGGCGAATCCTACAGAATGATACCAGTTTGCCACCCCAATTCAAACAGCGCCCAATGATGTGCTACCGGAGGGGCAGCAACTTGAGGGATCTATTGGTAAATCTGACCCCACACACTGCTATAGCAAAGCAACTACCTACCAGAACCTGGGGTGTTACAGATGCTTGGGCTGCGTCACATGCAGCCATATGATCCCCAGCAAATCGTTTGTTCATCCACACACCGGCAAAAAATACCTCATAAAACACAGACTTACCTGCACGAGTGACTTTGTGGTATATAAACTGGGATGCCCCTGTGGTTTGATGTACGTGGGAAAAACCGACTTACCACTCCGAGAACGAATCCGCAACCACCGTTCAAGCATACGCACAGCATATAGAGACAATGGGTCAGAACAACCGGTGGCTAAACATTTCCTGGAATATAACCATCCCCTACCAACAATGAAGTTTTTGGCCATTGATCATATCCCTCCACCCTTAAGGGGTGGCGACCGCAAGAAGCTCCTACTACAAAGAGAGCTCTATTGGATTCGAACACTTGACACTGTGCAACCCAGGGGACTTAATGAAAAATACACTTTAGGTATTTTTCTATGATATGCTTCCAGGACTTAACTAAAAAACCCTTCCCAACTACAATGCTTCTATATATATTGGACTTAATGAATGGGCCACCTCTGTATATTCTTGTATATATTATTTTTTATTTATTTTTTTGATTTCTTTGTCTTTATGCCTGTATGTCCCTATTACAATGCCAACTGTATTGCAAGATGATGAATACTTTATGTACGGCCATATTACGCTTAGGACATCACAGATATCTCCCCCATATACATATATGGACGACAATAGCCCCCTGTTCTTGCTGTACGTCCCTCCAGTGGCTCCAGTATTCCTAGCACTCCTTTCTAGGCACAGCCATTTACACAGCCATAGATTCAGATAATATTCTGCCCATGGTTGTAGTACCTACCACATATACTACACTATCTGTGTATCATTATGACATGAAGGTTGGCAACACTGCCCAGCTACCTTAGGGAGATCACACCTATTTTGAAATAAATAGATTCCATGTCCTTAGTATTCAATTTAGGACTTATTGCCTATCCCCTATAGTTGCATTGGACACCATCATTAAGTACCAGACATTGTAACATCTGGCCTTAGTTACAGTACACCCATTTAGCAAGCATTTTATA